AAGTGATTGTTCACCTACATGAAAGTTGACGTCATGAGTAATTCATATTAAATTAATGATTATGCTGCCTTATAATCTGGATTCCAAGCTTGCAGTCCAAGTGTTTGTCAGCATATTCAGAAAAGGTGATAGAAATAAACGTGCAGATCGCTTCACAACTTTCGCTAAATGCAATCCCTCCACTTCATGGACATCGTTTTCCATAAGGTACCAGAGCGACATTGGAGGCCGAGAGGCCCAGATCGAAAGTCATTGAACCAAATTGATTATATACTGATTGACAAGAAACAAATAATTCGAGACATGGATCATGGGCTAGAACATGATCTGCATAGGGAAAGACCAGGCTGTTACGTTGCATATTGACAATGTTGTCGCAAAAAAATGAGGATGAAAAGAAATCAAAGATCTTTGTTTTGTGAATAAGTAAGAGTCGATGCGAAGGTTTTTTTCAAAGAGCTGTCATTAATGAACATTGAAGTGAACATCAGCGAGGACGTAAATGCGGATTATAACCACCGTGTTAATATCATTACAACATCAAGCCGGGCAGCAGAGTCAACAAGCAGCTAATTTTTCGGCCCTTCAACAAGCTAGATGATGGTGAAAGGAGCCCAACTGAAGGATAAAGGAAAAACGGTCAACCCGGATAACTGCGCATTGTACAAAGAAGCATGGAAGAAGTTGAGAAAAGGCATCGAAATTATTGGAGAAATTGATTAAGAGAGGCTGCGAAGCGGAAGAAAAGTCTGCCAGTGAAACGAAATTCCCCCAAACCAACGGATTTCGACTGCGCAGATGACGAGAAGTAGCTACTAGCTATTAACAGTAATGTGTTGAACGCGATTTATTAACTTATTCTCTTCCAAAATGGGCGTGAATTCGAGGTTGCCAATCGTTGTCCTGAAGCCGTTTCCGAGGGCACCTCTGACAAAGTTGCGTGGGCAGTCAGAAACATTGAAAATGGCAAATGTTCAGTCAACGGCGATATAACACCAGAGCAGCTTAATGCTGGAGGAACAGTACCGTTTCAAGTGCTTGCCAAATGTTTTGCGCAATGCATCAGGCAAAACAAGACCCCTGTCGAAGGAATCAAGAACGATTCTGCTCGTGAAAACGACGATTTCGAGGACTTCATGAACTATCGACCAGTTATGTTCCTGTCGCAAATCGTCACCAGCATCGTTCACCATGTAAATCTACATCTGCTTCATTATGAACCGTATTCAGAACAACCTCGAACTAATCGCAAGTGGGGAACAGGCCGATTTTCGCACAGTGTTTTGTACCATGGACCAGATTGCGGAGAAGTGCAACGAATATAAATTCTATTCGGATTTGTTTTATGGATTACAAGAAAGCATTCGATTTAATCGAATTTATCAGCTGTGCTAAGCATCTTGCACTCACACTGCGTAAACCGTGTTGTGTCGACCTGATCGAGGAATTGAATACCAGTTGCACGACTGACAGCCGTTCAGCGAACCCATCACAGTGGTATCCATCACGGAATGCTCCAACGAGATACAATCTCACCAGCGATCTTCACCCAGCCGTGAAGTTACTCTTCAACCGGCTATGCTGGTGCAACGGCATCGCTGTTGATGAAGCAGACGCACCTGTTAGTTGTGAATCGTCTTCCTATATAGTATGATGGAGTTCCTACAGTTACAACAGTTGCTAGGGGAATGTGTGACGATCAGTTTGAAGGTCAACCTGTCCAGGACGAACTGAACGCGAAACACACACCATCCCGAGGATGATGAACATGAACCCTATGTACGGCGAAGAAGTCACGAGTTATACATACCTTGATAGTCAGGTGGACCGCATGAACTCGATAGGCCAGAAAATCAGCAGAAGAAGAAAGGGGGCTTGAGCAGTTGAAAGATCATTGCTCCACAGTGAAGTGTCCATGCGGCTTAGGACTGTTCGATTCAGCTATCCTACCCACAGTTATCTAGGCGTTGAATATTGGTCTTATGCAAAAGTCGAGGAGGAGAAACTTATGGTCCCGCAAACAGCCATGAATCGAAAAATGGACAGATGACTCTTTAGGATCACGATCCGAGCGCACAAACTTGAAGATGGATTGGATTAACAGATATAACGTATTTTCTGCGACTAACAGAAGATGACTCGGTCCTGTGGCTCACTTGAGACAGTTCAACATTTGAATTCAAGAGTTACAAATCAGTAGCCGCGGGACCAGAGCTTTGAGTCGGTCATCTACAAACACGTCCAGATGATTTTCACATTGCTTTGTTAGTATTAAAGGCAGAAAGCACTAAAAGTAAAACATTTGAGCAACATCGACTTGCGCGAATGGCTCATCTATAACGGGGCAAGTGAAATGACGTGTTTTATTATCACTCACTTTACATGGATGCATTTTATATATCACCTGGACCGGCCGATATTCAGCGATTAATCGTGCCCATTACTTTGTTGTCATAGCGCAGAAACGTTTTCCACCCGCTAGCAGGGCCGTCGGTGACGTACGAATTTCGTATAGGCTGGTTCTCCAAATGCTTCCGGGTTTTTTTTTCACGGAAGTTGTCTCTAGTCTTTTGACGAGCCTATTCTACCCGCAGGGTTGCAATGACATTTGACAGCGGCGTTTTTCTTCAAAGGGGCGGGTCTCTTTCTATATATGTAGACAAATATCACGTTGAAGGGAACCCTGAACTATGAACCTACATTTCGAAATGCCAATGAATATATTCGTCTTCGAGGAGAGATATTGTAATCAGATAATTTTCCAGTAAAAATCGTGACAGTTAGGTAGTAGCTTCACAATGGAGATGCTAAACTCGATAGTGTCCACCCTCTACCGTATTTCCTAGTCACCTTCTCATATTATTGCCGTTAATGTTATACCGACTAGGCCGTCGCTCGGGTTGCCAACGGCCGCGCAGGTTGCTGTAGAACTAAGGCAGGCTGCGAAGACTACGCGTGGAGGATCTGCTTTTTGTCCTTTGGCAGCACCGTGACTACTGCCAAATCTATATCATGTGAGTTACGGTTTCAGTTACCGACAGTTGGAGCTTACATTCAAAAATTGGAACATTTCAGTCACATGGAAAGAGCACAAGCTACTTCAGGAGGCCGTTTATATAGATAAATGGGTTTTCAGTCTGTAGAACGGGCTAAAGTATTGACCTCGTCACAGGTCTATGCGCCCATTTTCGAGCAAAACTATACCTTCCTTGAGGAATT